TGCCTAACGGTCAGACCGGTAAGCCAGCGACGATAATGCCAACCGGAGCTAGTAGCTAACGATTTAAGTGTTACTGTGGCCTCGTAGCCACTCGCGGGAAGGCACATTCCAACATGCTTGTAGCAGATGCTTTTGCGAATTGCTTATAGTAATGCAATGACCTAATCACTGTCAGCTCTAAGCTATCACTTTGCCCCTTAGCTCCTGCAAAGGAAAACACCCATACCGAGGAGTCCGGTTTCGAGGTTATTGACAAGGCATCGGTTCCCAAACCCGATAGTGAAGAAGTTCGCGAGGCGGTTTCTGCCCAAGGTGAGGATGGACAGCTACTCGTTAATTTCGTCCAAGTCGCAAAAGACGAAGTCCCACCTGCCGATGCCCCCGAGGTCGCTGTTACGAACAATGACCACGCTCACTCCATCAATGAGAGGCCTGCTACTGAGGCGCACAAGCAGACCATTCCAGAAGCCAAGGTTCTTCCTTCCGAAAAGCATCAATTCAGCGATTCAAATGGGCTTGATGGAATCGCACAAAACGACGGTTAGTTTAGTCCGTATTCATATGTTGTACTAGGTCTTCGTTAACCACTAGCCACTAATTAATTCGCAGTCTTTCTGTTTTCAGCCAAGGAGAAAGTTCATAGCGATGCTCCCCCTGAAACCGCTCCGGTGGTCGCTGCACCCGTTTCTCATGAAAAAGTCGACGAAGTTAAGTCGCAGGATGTAGAAGCAACTCACTAATTACCATTATTTTATTCCGGTCTGAGCTCCCTCCGTCCCAATTATCCGGTCGAGGATCTGCAGCATAGTTTCCGCAATGCTCGGCATTTTGTCACAACTGAACCACAAGTGTACACTAGTCGGCGCTCGTGTTCATCTGCATTGTGTTAAACCCCTATCCCCATGGATGTCCCTTTTGGACCTTTTACACTGTTTACTGTCTGTTGTATACTAACGACACTGCAGACATTTTCACTGCTCCCCACTGGTGTCATCGTGCGGTTCATAATTTTTCCAGACTCCAGATAAGTTATTTGTATACTTGTTAATTGCTAACGTTGATTGTTGTTTACCACGTTCTGCGCGTCATTTATATCCCCATTCGGTAGGCGCCATCCCTTAACGTATTCCGAATGTTTTACGTTCCTCATACGATGACTAAAGCCAGTCAGATTACCCTATCCAAGTCCATGGTTGCACTGTTTTGCCGAATTTTGCATGCCATCTCTGCATTTCTATCACCGTTTTCCTATAATAATAAAGCTCAAGCGCGATACTTTTAGGTCTTTAGCTTGAGTTAACGCAGTAAGTGCGCTTTGTATACACCTGCTTTGCGATAATTTAATACGTTCTGATGCAACTACTGTTCGTCTTTCTACTTTTCTCATGTCCGCTGCTCAAAGTGCGTTGGAAGTAGAAGTGCATATTGAATCTTATGGCTATTTTATTAAACCTTAACGTCTCGCACATTTACGGCTGGTCAGAGTTTTTTTCTTACGTCACCTTTACATTGTCGAATTTAGTTCCCACGTGTTAACTCAAATAAACCCCTTAAATTTGTAAATAGGCTATTAGGAGCTGCGATGCGCCTGTGCAAGTTTTTAAGTAAAAGCTTTCGTGGTATTTAATACTGAGATTTGTAATTTTCAACTAAACCTGGGCAGTTTTGGATTTGGCTCTAGTCACAACGTACTATGCGAGGTCAGCCACCTCCAATTTTCCCTAAATTTTTCCCAAATTCAGGACAAATCTGAAGGTGTCGCCAACACCATAATGATAATGCAGAAAGTTACATAGGATTTGAGACGAGCTGGACGGTCTGTAGATTTACTATTCCGGCTTGCCCGATCTGTGCGTGGTCGTTCGTCCTGATAGATGTAGTGCACGTAGTAATTTTTGTTCGCTAGTGTCAAATGCGGAATCTTAGTTTGTTTTACCGTTAATAAAAGTGTCCCATACGGCCAAGGTCTGACCTAGCCGTCTAATTATGCATTGATTTTGTACGCATCCGGCGGTTGCCGCGAGTCCTTTGTTACTCTAGGTACCGTTGCAGTCGCCCGTATGCAACTGGAGCACAACCTAGCTCCAATATGCTTACTATGTCCTGCTAGCGTTAGGCGCGCGAAGTTGCCGAATTACTCGACTTGTTCTCATTTTTGTTGCGAAACCACTTGACCTTGGAGCTGGGGTTCTGCATCTTGTTATTTCTCCTCGTGTACGTGAAACGGTGAAGTCAGTTAGTATGCAAACAGAGAGGAAGAGAGAATTGTACCTACACCGCATTTGGTCCTACCGCGTTGTGCCTGCTCGTCTTTTAGGGTCGCCATACGTCTACTGAGATGCTTCAATTAAGTGTCCGCGTGTGCAGATAATCTGTCTGGTTGATTTATTCATCGCGCGGTGTTTTGTCGAATATTGAAAGTCAAAACTGTTCTTCGTTAGATCACCATTCAAGTCCTTTGAAGGTTCGATTAAGAATTAGCTCGCTCGCGCATCCTGTAATGGTCAAGCGGGGAGACCACAGGCCAACCCGGGAAGATAGAAGGGTTTTTGATGTAGGGCTCGGCCAATGTGGGCTTTGTATTATTCCATTTTGGAAATGTACAATGCTATGCGTTAAAGCAAGTGTGGTCCATCAGTGTGGACGCTTCCAGGATTTTCGAATGACAATAACTGCGCGGCTTAGTCGGCCCACTGACGTTTCAACTTCAGCCTGGGTATTTTTATTGTCGGCAGTGGCCAAATTTAAAATTCGCAACGGTCATTGTGCGGGACTGCAACCTGTAGCTGTCTGGGTAAGGAGCAGCGTATCTTCGGAGAGGTTCTGGTCCCGTGTATTGCTATCGAGGGAATAAGAGAACCCGTTCAGTTCTCCGGCGGGCTGAAATTGGGCTACGATTACCTGAGATCGTCCACACCTGCAGGACTGAGTGGTCATTTTCAGGGCCCCCTGTCGCAAATTTTAAGCTGCAGTGCAAGCTTTATATCATGTAAGCCGAGGGCATGCTCTTTGCCCCCGTTTCTATGTAGACTTTATGACACTGTCAACCACTGTGCCCTCACTCAGCAACAGTTTGTAGAGAGAGTGAAGTAAACGTAGCGCATACCCTTCATTAATAACCAATCTAGCGCACTTGAATATATCACGGTGTGCTAAAGGCCGTGGCCTGCACGGCTGCCAACCGACGGAATAATTGGGACATCACATTGTCTGGTGGACAGAGCGGTAGACTGAAACTCGGGCTGCAATGCGGCCTGTATGGCACTGCCATTCAGTTTAGGTACAAATCACGTTCTCCCCTAGTGATATAAACTGTGCGAGTTTTTGACGAACAGAGGGGTTTGGCATGCGGACGTCGGTTGATCACGTCTGTTTTGGAAACATAACACCATTGTACGTGTAGTGTCCACCCAGATACCAATATGCAAGATGACGGTAAGGGCCTGCCTCGAGTTAAACTGGCTTCCAAGTGAGTTAATTTTTTACATCAAAAGGCATTAGGAGGTGCATATGAAACCCATGGGAACCAAAACGGGGAGGGGGCACTTGTATTTGTTACAGCTGTGGTTATGACTGCCCTTTCCCGGCCTCGATGATGCCGCGGATGGTAATTCTCCAAACTTGACGATCCGTGGCAGCAAACATCGACAGTTCAATCCATTCTTTACGCCAGCGCCGGAGACGAAATACTGAAGGTCCAAGAACCACTTCAATGTCCTGACGAACTTTGTCGAGCCATGTTTGGAGCTCACCCCTTCGAAGTCTCCAGTTGTTCGCCGGTTTCGGATCGAGGGCAGTAACACTGAGCTCGTGAGGTTGACGACGAAAAACATTTCCAAACCGCTTTAATCGTCTTTCTCGGACGACCCGGGATATCCTCGCTTTACCGTCGCAGCGAGTGCGGACTGTCTACGTTGAGACGAAGTCGATATACTTCACTGGAGGGATAGTCTGCAAGCACTAGTGAGCAGATACCCTCAGTTTTCTTTCACCTTCCACGCACATAGGTCAGCATTCACATCTGTAGGGGACAGACTGTGCGGGGGGCTGTTTGACATTTTGTTACTTCTGACTGGTATTTCAGGGCTGATCGGCCTCCATTTGACTGACTACGAAAAATAAATTCCCAATTAATGGATCTATGCTAACTGACCGGTTACTGGACTCACTCGTCTTGTTCTGCCTTGGGGTTTACTCTCCAGTCGCGCCAGCAACTGCACAGCGGCTAGTACCATAACCTAGCAAAAAAGGGGAGATGGAAATGGCCCCTTCTGGAGTATTAGCCGTCATCGATAGGCTCTAGATGGTGTACCATCTGTGGCTCGATAGTTAGACGTTAAATCAACTGGTCGCTGGTGTGCAACACTTTGAGTGTTG